GATTTTATTGTACTGTTCATATACATGAAAAGTGCCCATTTTGTCATAATATGTCATAATAAGTCGTAACCAAATCTTGACACAACGCATATTCTTTACTATTATTGTGAAATACAATGCTCAGGATAGATGCAAGCAACCCTTGAGACTTTCATAACCCCTCCAAATATACAATGGAGGTGAACATATACTGATTACTGTCACAGTATCATACTCGAGTATGGTAGCTGTAAAAAGTATCAACCATCGTATGCACTACGTTGATATTCAACGGAAAATATGATATTAAAGTATCTTTAAAACTCAAAACATGATATATTACAAAATGAGTCAATGAATTCATGATAACACTTATACAGTTATTTCATTAGCAATACCTGGTAAATATAATGAAATATATGTAAATCAGAAGAGGTTTACTATGTCATACAAAAACGAATGCTAGAACTCAAATCCTTCATCAATGTTACATATCGTCACTTTGATAATCATCATCACATTTTTACTTTTATATGAATGCAGTGTATATTAATTTCAATTTAATACGATTCAATTTGATTCAATTTGGTTCAATTTGTATTTTTCCAAGGTAAAACCATGAAAATGTTACATGGGAATTGTTTTACAAGGAATAGAAAATAGATATGTAAACAACAAAAACAGTAATAATCGGAATACATGAATGATAAATATACATGTACATAGAAGTTGACATCTTAGACATTAAAAGGTAAAATAACCCATAGCATGAGCAGTAAGAAAGAGTACCAGGGGAAAGGTGTGATATAGAAAGAAGGACAGCAGATCGAGGTGGGAGAGAAGGAAATGAGTCAGAAGAAGGAGAAGGATAGGGAGAGAAAGGGAAATGGAGCTGATGCGAGGTAAAGAACAGAGAAGTAGGAACGGTTGTAAGAAGAAAAAGAGAATATCATGAAATAATAAAGGTATTAAACAAGAAGATAATGAACTCCCATTATGAAATTAGCTAACACATTCGTATATTGACATGGAAGTGCAACAGAAGACAAATAAAAGGAACTATAATGAAATAAGAAAGAACGGGGAAAGTAAGAAGGAAAAGAAAGAGAAACTGACATAGTAAATAGTGATGATCACCATTCATAAAAAGTGTTATCTAAAATATAATATATGTATACAGGGTATACGTACGTGATGGTTTTCGAATTGGTTGCTATTCACATATCTCATTCAAACAAAAGCTATACTGCAAAATATACAACATTATAGAAGATGGATCAAAATATTTCACCTGTTAATTAATACAATATCAGTTTTCGCATAAGATTACAATGTCGGTTGTAAGTACAAGACTTGTACAAAAATATGAACAAACTTCATATGGGCAATTATTGCAGTTATACATGTGTATACAATTATTATCATTATTCAAGATGAGTTTTCAAAGGCCCTTATGGAAAAGGGAATGAAGGATTTCAGATAGCGGTATGTTCTACACTTTGCAGACTTGAGTCGTTTACCTGATCGCATCCAACAACATTCATGTTAGTCTACCTTATAAAGAAAATACATCCAGTAACAACAAACAACAGAGTAGTGAGAAAAATTGTTTTAAAATAAAATAATCTGGAATGCAAACAAAGACTTGTAGAGATTACATGTAGGCATACCACAACAATCGATTTAAGATCGATGGGGATAATGAATAAAACAGTGGCCTACAGTCAATGGGATACAGGGGTATATCCCTATATACCCACGAGCTCCAGAGCATATACGACGATTGTCCACGTGGATGCACATAGTATGCTATTCCAATCACATTGACTATCGCATCCTCACCGGGTACCTATTCTTAAAATGTAGATTTAATGCCTTGCTCTTTGATATGAGTGTCGTGCAGGGCCTCGAACACAAGCCTTGCATTTCCAGTCAAGTGATGAAACCACTCGACTACGACACCTCTATGATGATGATGGAAAAAGAAGCAAAGAAATTCCGTAAATTAAAAAAAAGAACGTTAATTGCGCTGGTCCATGATTGATAAAACTCGACAATGAGGAGAGAGAAAGAGAGATAGCTATAGAGAAGGGGGCTATATAGGCCTATATATCTGAATTAGAGACTGGAGTAACATTTATTATTACATTCAATAAGGTGGACAAACGTCCGACTAATACAAAGTTCAAAATAGTATATTCTCGGATCAGAAGGGGTTTCATTAAACAACATAACAATAAGGATACATTTATACCGCGCATTATACTGCCGGTTAAATCCCCTTGCGCTTTACATGGTAATGCAGAATAATTGTATTCCGAAAACTAATTACAACAAAAAATATAGCCATGCTCATAAACATACACCAAACTAAATATACATTGGAACATACGCAATAAACGAAAAGATAGATACATAAAGTAGACAAAGGCACATTATATTATTTCCGTTCAAATTGACATGCAAACATTCTTTTCACTTTATGTTACAATACATAAATGAGGGTGAATATTCTTTGTAAAAAAAAGAAAATTAATTCTCACAGAATCAAACGAAACTTACACTGAATGTTCAAGATTACAAATAAATGACATGTGCCAAACAATTTTAGAAGAAAATGTATACTGGCTGAGTAATGAGCAAAGACAAGGAAATCAAGGTAGTACTAGCCCCGACACCATGTGTGTTGTCCCATATATAGCTTTATGTGTACACTGTACAGTGCTTGTTACTTTACCAAGACTCGGCCAAATTTATTATGAGTTTGATGACTCCAGAACCTTGCAGTGCACACCAATACTTACATGCTACATGATCAACTGTTTCTGATCCATTCCACACCTTTTCTTTCACAATGCAATCGCATTACCAGTACTCACCTTTATCTTTAAATTCAAGATAATGGTTTCTAATATATATATTAGTTAGTCATGCGTGCAACAAAATAGACCTACATTGTAAATTAACGACGTATACGTGCGACATTCTTTATAATCTAATCAATATATACAAAATACTCAAGTTTCAGTAAACAATATTTGGCGTTTCAACAATATTTTGCTGATACCGAATGGAATACTTGATATTGATAAATCATGTTAATCAATAAAAATACTTATAGTAATACCGCCACAACAACATCATCGTCAACAAGACCACAACAATAACAACAAAATCAACTACTACTATTACTAGTGATAAGTTGTGCGTTCGAATATTTTCGCAAAATGCGGTAATGTCTCAGTGCCCTATGCAATAAACAATTAGTTCCATAAATACAGAAAAAAATATTGAGCTTAAAGGTACTATGTCCCTTTTGCAGGCCAAAAAAAAAGAAAAAGTTAAATTCCAATGGCATTTGAAAGATAAAACTAGGTTAGAACTCCCCTTTAAAAAATGGGGCTTGAAAATGTCTTTAAGTGGGAAAATAACGACTATTAGTTGTCAAATCGACTTAGGAGCTATAGAGCTAATAAGTAATAGCCTTGATTTTCAGACCATTGTACCGCATGGTCATATGTTTTATGCTGCGCAAAGATTCAATCAGTTTAATCTTGGCCATTAAAAGAAGTGGGCTATTGATGTAGAAAAATCCTTTACAGCTCATTTTATTACCAAAGAAAAAGAAAAAGTCAGTACGTCGATCACTCAATACTGACAATAGTGTCTGACAGTGAAGTCTAAAAAGGAAACGGGTTTCCTTGCATAATTTGAATATTAGGACAATGCTAACGTTTAAATTTCACAGATAGGACATACATGACATATTCATAATTCCTGCAAAGTTCTACAGAATTTAAGGTTGGCTGCAAAAGGGACATAGTATCTTTAATGCAAAATGATTTACTCTTAAAGGTGAAATTCAAAGAAGATCACAAATATGTCAACTAATGTATCACTAGAAACTGGTAAGCGGCCATCGTACAAGTTTTAGGTCAACTACATATCGGGTGATTTATAAAACTACAAATACAACCACCTCCATAGCAGCTGGGATATACGAGAGATTCGCCGGAAAAATAACGATGTTTTAATGACGTCACTATATGGACCAACACTGCCCAAGCAGACGACATTCCATAGAGAATGAACATAATTGCAAAGCTATTTTTCCTCAAATTATAATGAGTTTAGTGTATATACATGTAATGGCATGTCCAACCATTCAAAAAGGGATATGACCAGATTCTGATAACTAAAATCTTTTGCTTGTAAATACACAGGATAGGGGTTAATTAACAATCAAAGAAACCAGACTTTCAAATTGAAAACCCCCCGGAATGATATTAAGGACGGCATTTGTTCCCTCTTGAAACACCGAACATACCCCGGTGTGTGCAGCTGAATATACAATGGCGTCTGATTTTGTTTACAAGCGAAACATTCCTTTATTTTGGTATCGCTGCATTTGTTATCAAAATAAAACCACGCACGGGGTTTAGAGTGAGGCAATAGATTATACATATGGCCTGACAGTATTGAAGTAAGAGAAAGAACTCAAGAGAAGATAAAAACACAGGCACTGACAATGTGTGAGATGTCATGGGACATCGTCTGCTTGTGCAAGTCATGTTCATACTGTGACCTTACACATCTCAGCAGCGTTCGGAGAGCTCTTCAGGTGCTATGCCGGGGCTGTATTTAAGCGTTTTGTAATTTATAATTACTTCGAATGTTTCCAAGCATTGAAGCATTCAACCTTGTTGAATCAAAGTTTCAACTTTGCAATAATAAAAATAAAGTTAGTTTTTAAAATCAATGAATATCTACTTTAATAATGTTCTTGCATTGAATGTAATAGTGTACAATCACTAGTTGAACTTGTAGAAAAACAGCTGATTGAATATTTAGAATTCGTATGCACTTATACAGCCTTTAATAATTTATAGTTAGTCAGTAATGTATAACTTGCGTTGCAAAGACACTCCTTTGTATTAAGGGTACATACAATTTGGCTACGTTATTTACAAATTATCAACAGACAAAATTACCAACTCAAATATATCAGACAAGATTGTTTTCCCTTTCAAAATGAAAATCATAAATCATAAGACACCTTTTATGTGATACATGCAACAGTTCATATACAAGAGATATTAGATAAAACAAATATAGATTGCTTTATTTGTGAATTAAAAGGGTCTTCATTTGGCCTTTTTGGAAGGGCGATATAGGCCTACATGACTAGATACATTCCTTCATTTCCTATCTGTGGATACTACTCAAAAGGTTTACCCTAAAACTCCTGCGCTTGTTTGAAACCTACATAGCAAATATGGCGTGTAAAGCACTGCCAGTTGAACAATTCAAATTCGAAAAGAAATATTACTGTATTTAAAAAAAACAATAACAATGATATTTTACAACATTTTGGCCCTTTGACAAGTTTTGAGATTTTCACCGTGTTAATCCACGTAGGCCTAACACCCTTTAAAGTATATTGCCTGTGTATAATAAATGAATGAACACTGAGAGTGACATTTTGAAGGGAAGTCCAAATCACAATTTCTTAAACAAATTAACAAGAGCTGCAATACCGATGTAAAGCATATATTACACATACGTCTAAATCATATGAATGTCAACGTGATTCAGTGGATGAATATTAAAGTCGATTGCATGAAAATTGCCAAAGGAAAAAAATCTGATGATGTGTTTGAGGCACTTTTCATTTCAGTCCATTTCCTGTTCGAGTGCAAAGATTGTCTGCTCCGTCTGATTCGTCAGATCGAGTGTGGTGCCATCTATATGATTACTAATAAAGTTAATATCTAAAGTGATGGAGAGAGAGAGAAAGAGAGAGAGAGAGAGAGAGAGAAGTGTAAATGTGCATGTGCTTCAACATACAAACAGCGCTACATTACAACATAATCACATAGAGCAATAAAGGGAGGGCAAAGAAGCGATATTGAATATCACACAGCTTTACGTCAAACAAAACCATTTTTACTAATAACAAATCAAATTTATTTTCTTTTACAACATGTTACCGGGCAAAATCTGTTAATCAGTTAATTAATACGTAGAAAACGTCTTAATACCAACATGCGCGAATAATTTAAAGAAATAAGCCAACATGTAATATGAAAAATAGTATACATACCTTCAGTTTATCACTTCGCTAATCCAGTAACCTAAGCCAATTATTTAATAGGCACCCTTGAACAATCATGATTACACACTTCCAAAGGAATATTAATTTATATGCACGCCATTTGTCAACTCTTTGTTACATTTTGCACAGATTAATTGATATGAGACTATTTTGTGTATTTTTTTTGTATTCTATTTATTTAATCACGGTTAAGAAGCCTGATATCAGCTAGAAGCTGCTTTTCAGCAAGGCCGTGAACAACAATTGAACACAACAAGTACGAAAACAACAATTATATCCAAAAGAAATCACAAAAATTATCATAACATAATGAGATGAAAACAAACAAGATTAATTAAAAATTGCTTGGATAACAGAAACAATGGAGGGGTGTAAGGAATATAAAACCTGCGAATATTGCCAGGCTATCTTCGAATCGGATGTTTGCCAGTAGGTTATTTAAACGTTTTGAGGCTGAATACAGAGGGCTCTCTCTGAGGTTATTTGTATATGAGTGGTACATAATGACAGTTCTTTTCATTCTCGATGAAAACAGAGATAAACAATTAAACATAGTAACTAACACTGTATGTCTATTATAGCATTTTGTTAATGTGAAAGGATACTTCTACAACCAGGGTCTGGAAATCAGACTATTACTTAGGTGATTGCAATCACTTATGTCGTTTCGACAACTAATAGTCGTTCTTATCCCACAAAAAAATCCATTTTCAAACCTTTTCTTTTTGAGGGAAGTTCTTAATAAGTATTAAATTCAACCTTTTGATTTTGTTGACCTGCAAATGGGACATGAAGTACCTTAGAGAGCATTGCAAGCCTGGAAGTAAGAGTTTGAATGACTTACCCACGCGGTTTGCCATGCTCCACCTCCACCTCCATGACCTGATCTTTATTGCAAGCGATAATGACATCATCCACGCCCTCATCTGACCCGCATCGTATGAATCTACCAGTATCAAAATAGACGTAATACAGCATTTCTCCTTTCGTGCTCCTCGTGATTTTCGTATTGTTTTAATTTGATTCTACAAGATGGAAATGCTCATTAATAATTTAAAAGACCAAATGCCCCAATTTTACGATTTTCTTTCATGATAGACTATTGTTAAATGACTAATCTCACTCATGGGGCGAATGGTATAAAACCAATTGCAAATCATCTTAAAAAGGATTAATTTATGTTTATTTTGAGATATGAAAGATAAGTACTATTCAATTTTTTAATTTTTTAATTCTTAATATAAATAGTGTACAATTTTTCGGGGGGGACTGAGTGTATTATGGATAGGGGAAAAAATGGGAGAGAGAAGAGAGAGAGAGAGAGAGAGAGAGAAAGAGAGAGAAAGAGAGAGAAAGAGAAAGAGAGAGAGAGAGAGGGGGTAAAAGAAATGAAACATATCAAAGTGCTTTGTTAATAAATGACATAATGTCTCACCTGATGATTTTCAGATGTTTGAGGTGGTGAGGTGATCTGAAAGCTTGTAAGATTAGTTCCATCTTACTGTTGCCAATATTCAGTTTGCTGAATGTCACCTTGACAAGCTGAGGGGAGATATTCAGCAGGACATTGGATAGTGAAGTGGGCTCCTTGTGGAAACCAGCCGGTCGACCTGCATACTTTTGTGGTTGAAAGGTGAGTTCTGTTGCTCCTGGTAGATGGATCCTCTGGATGACGTTACAGTTGATCGTGCTCCATACCTGTATAGTGACCCTCTTCACATTGTCAAACATCGAACAACAACCCTGCCATCCTTTTAGTGTGTCATGATCCACTGTCAGCTCAGTCAGGGTGGGGCTCGTGTTACAACTCTGGTTGTGATCATGTACAATTAAAAACAAAGGAAATCAAAGTGCACTAGCACCTGTAGGAGGTTCGATTGTTGGTAAATATTTAATGTTTCATGAAAAAGTAACCCAAATCGTGAAAATGGATTATGCTAGCCTCATGGGTATTGTAAAATATAAACAAGGATTTTTAAAAGACATAGCCCGGGCAAATGCGAGAAAGCTTTTGCAAAGGCAAGTAAAAGTGGCATGATAGTCAAAGTCAATTTAACATTTAGTTCCTTCCGGGCTCATTCACAACCAATATTCCAGGAGTTAAGGTTATTGAATGTGTATCAACTACATAAACTATCTATTTGTGTTTTTATGCATCAATTGTTGAATAATAGATTGCCACAGTCCCTTATTCAGTACTGCTCTTTCGTAGAGCACAGATATGAGACAAGGCAAAGAGAAAATAAAAAGCTAACTGTGCCTAAAGTAAGGACAACAAAAGGTTCATTTTCTGTGTCATACAGAGGTGTATGCTTCTGGAATGATTTACCCGCTGGCCCGATTTAAAAATGTTAACCCCCCCCCCCCCTTTGAAAAAAATCCTGCGTACGCTATGGTCTCAGATGCCCTTGTACTCTTTAAAGTCCCTTTTCGTACTGAATTATGTATAATACTTGTTCTGTTTTTATCTTCTTAATCGTTTGAATGAAATATCGTAGTTTTATAATGTTTTTTATTGCCCATTGACTCTTTTTTTTAAACACAGTGTTTGAATTGATGTTGGGATATGGAAATAAATGATTTTAATTGAATTGAAAGTGTTGAGAGCCACAAATTCTCAACAAATGTAAAAGCAAAATTGCACTTAAACTATATCATAATGTGAAAAAAGAACTTCTGCAAATATCCTCCCCCCCCCCCCCACAAAAAAAAAGAAAAATGTATTTGAAGACAAATATGATTTTAAAAAATACATAATTTTTTTGTTTTTTGTTGTACTGTTGTATTCTTTTATCAATATTTATGACATCCTCTTTTACATTATGATACAATTTAAGTAAAATCTTTCTATCAAATTGTTGGGGCCCCCAACACTTCAGAGGGGCTTCAATTATCTGACCAGCAACCAAAAGTACGTCTTTCCTTCGTAATTCAATGGGTCTATTTACTTTGAGTTTATTTCTATGTAAGCGCTATAGAGTTTGTATTTAACTTCTCTAAATATTCGATACATAGTGAGATGGAGAGAAAAAGCAAGGCTTATGACATTTAAGTGCCGTTGTGGGCACTGGCGTACTGGTGGGGGGGGGGCTTGGGGGGCGACAGCCCCCCCCCCCCCCCCCAAAAAAAAAAAAAAAAAAAAAAAAAATTAACCATGACTTATTTTCACAAGTAATGTATAAATGTTCGTGATATCACATGATTTTCAACAAAATGCTATAGTTTCTCCATTATTTCTTGCAAACTGACCCATTCCCAAATAGCCAGGAAGAGCATATGTTTTTTATAGTCACTAAGGGCCTTATAGTACACTAATTCCTTTCCAGAAGCTACTGTGCAAAGCACAGTCGGGAGATAACATACCCACCACTCGGGCTGAGCATGCACAGATTTGCGAACGAGCGTTCCATACTTACATCATGTAACACTGCACATATACCGTTAAGGGACCCAGTGGGGGGAATTGAATTCAGACAAGATTAAAAGTAGAGAACGGTACAACGAATCGTCTTCTTTCTCTAATAATTTAATGAAACGGCAAAGCTTCCGCGCTTCGCGCGGGAGGGGGGGGGGGAACTAATTTCAGACTACGATTAAGAGTCGAAAACGGTACAACGAATCGTCTTAATCTTTCTCTAATAATTAATGAAACTCGAAAATGATTTCAGACAAGGATTAAGAGTAATAATTAAATGAAACGACAAAGCTTCCGCGCTTCGCGTAGGAGGGGGGAACTGAATTCAGACAAAGACACAATAAAACGATTCGTCTTCTTTCTCAAATAATTTAATGAAACTTGAAAGCTAACGCGTTTCGCGCGGGATGGGCGAAAATGAATTCAGACAAGGATTTATAGTATTAATTGATTGAAACGTCAGAGCAAGTCGAGAACGGTTCAACGGTACAATGAAAATGAATGATTCGTCTTCTTTCTCTAATAATTTAATGAAACTTGAAAACTTCCGCGTTTCGCGCGGGATGGGCGAAAGTGAATTCAGACAAGGGTTAAGAGTCGCGACCGGTACAATGAATCGTCTTCTTTCTCTAATAATTTAATAAAACGTGAAAGCTTCAGCGCTTCGCGCGGGATGAGCGAAATTAATTTCAGACAAGGATTAAGAATAATAATGAATTGAAACGTCAATGCTTCCGCGCTTAGCGCGGGAGGGGGGAAACTGAATTCAGACAAGGATGAAGAGTCGGGACCGGTACAATGAATCGTCTTCTTTCTCTAATAATTAAATTAAACGTCATGGGCGAAACGAGCTTTAAGAGTCGAGAACAGTACAACGGATCGTCTTCTTTCTCTAATAATTTAATGAAGTGTCAAAGCTTCCGCGCTTCGCGCGGGAGGGGAAAACTGAAAAATAACTTAGTTCCTGGCCCCGGGTTTAAAGGGTTAAATTTGTAGACATTTGGACATTGGTATTTTTATATTTGTCGGTAATAATATTGGTGGCTCGTTTTGTCGGTAATCGGCGGCCTCTACACCCCCCCCCCCTCCCCCACTAAAAAAGATCTGGCGACGCCCCTGATAACGACACAGTTTATACACTCGAGATAATTTTTGCAAGTACTACTGGTGAAGTACCGGACCACCGTCTTTGTGCATTGTGAGGCATCAAAGCATAATTTATACAACGTCTCACGACGTGACAGATCACTTTTCTCTAACTTCTAACTAATCAGAGGGCCCTTTTTTTCTCCATGAAATGCCGGTGGACTTTAATGCGCCAAATGTGGTTCTCAAATTGCAAAAGATCCCTACTCTTGGAAGGGGTAGGGGAAAGCAATTTTACGTCATATTACTCCAGGAAGTGCCTGAAAATGCGTCTAATTTGGTTCTAAAATTGCAAATGCTTCTTACTCTGGGAGGGGGCCAAAACCCCCTCCCAGACCCACCCCCTGCTTGGTCGCTCCGCTCCATCGCCGTTAAAGCCTCGTTCTGTTGCTTCATCGTTTTACATATATTTCACCCCATGCCATTTTGTGCCCCCCTCCCCGGTAAGAAATTCCTGGATCCGCCACTGATGCCCATACCCCTTGAGCTTCGGGGGTTTCGTCCTTTGAACCCCACCGGGGCTTTGCCCCTAGACCCCACTTTGAGAAACGTAATTCAGCGGGGCCTGCATGTTAGAGTGGGGTGATTCGGATTTTTTTTTTTGTCAGCCCCCCCCCCCCCAAAAAAAGTTTTTGCTCATTACGCCACTGGTTGTGGGTGGGGGGGGGGGGGTAAATTGCATAATTACGGACCCATTCTTATTTTGATAATTATGCCAGATAGGGTTTTGCCGAAGGAGGGGGTGGGGGGCGTTTGCCCCTATTCTCAATCCGCCATTATTCAACCCGTGAAGTGATCACGTGGTGCCAAAGGATATCATTGCTGACACACAGCGTCTTGTCAACTCTGGAAAAGGAGCTGTTTAAATTCAATTATTATTATTACTATGATTATTATTATTATTATTTTAATTACTATCAATACCATTATCCTCTGAGAAACGCATCTCCAACGAAAAAGGTCTCAATCTGTCGCACAAACTATTACCTGATTAATTTAGTGAAAAGCAGAATTACAGGCCCTTGGTGTATATTTCTATATGGCTGAATCGATACAATGATATGCACAATGTTCACATTTCAACAGTCCTTCCTAGATATAGTTTTGAAAGAACTAATAGAAGTGATCAATTCTTGTTCATCATAGAAACCATCCATTGCCATTTGTCAATATATTTGGATGAAGTATAGCTATGAAAAAATTTGTTTTTAATATAAATCTTTAATATTACGTTTGTCCGTTTTTGTATTATGACAGAAAGTTCGCTTTTCGCATCAACTTCCCGAAACTTTCAGCTTTTCCTACCTGCTTCCTCTTAACGGTGGAGTACTTTGAACAGTAAAATCGTACAATTGCGTTTGACTATATGGGAAAGAGTACACCTCCAGTATAACAAAAAGATGTAGTGATTTGTTGAGAGTTCTAAAATATATGATTAAATCAATACCTTTGCAGATGATGCCTTCGATGACGATGCTGAGTAGAAGTCATCGTGATACTGACCGTTGAGTGTCAGGTCCTTCAGATGAGTCATCTTACAGATGAACTGAGCCAGATCACGTGATGCAAAAAGACGTTCGTTGAGATCAGCAGAGTAGATCTCAAGAGTCTCAATCTGTTATGATAGCAACATTATGTTGAATGAATACTAATAACAACCAAATAAACTGAATTCAAGAATCAACAATTTGTGTTAAATTGAAATAATATCGCTGCGACAATTTAAAAAAACCTCTTAACACAATAACATTTATTTTGTTTATGAAACACAAGTCTTGACACCTGAAATTAGTACTAATTTCAATAGTTCCTGGATTCTGTTGAGACCGAGGTAATGGCGTTTATTCATAACTGATATAGGTAATGAAGCGATCCACGGCGAGACGGGCCGGTGGCCAAAGCCGCCCCGCCTAGTACCGACTCAGAAAATGTTAAAGTATAACTTTAGTTCTTGAAGTGTAGAAAACGAAGATAAATCAAAGTCACTAAAACAAATTCTTGATTGGAGTTGAAGATTTATTAAAATAAACGTAGAATTAATAAAATCACGAAGTTCATGTTTTGGGGCTGGGCAACCCAATTGAAGCAAATTAGTAACTCATGTCGGTATCGTAACGGAAAAGAGGTCCCGCTCCAGAGACGCAACTCGGTTTTTATCCTCCCGAACTGACACGCCTCGTCCTCCCAAAAATTGAGGCGTGTCACACAGACGCTTTGCGTAATATCAATCCACCCATAATTAGTTTCCGTATTAAAAGGTCCTATATTTCTTGGCGAATTTACCCCCCGGATATAAGGCGCTCTGGATGATCCGCATCTCTATTCCTCACATACTTCTTTCACGCACCCACCTGTGTCTCTTACATTCTAATCTTTCAAACAAGAGATGCAAATCACCCGGAGACCCAACAACCCTGGAAATTAATTCAATGAATATAAAAAGGGATAAATGTTGCTATGTCCGTCCACACTAGCGAGCCCACATGCTTCTGGCTATTACACACCTGTAATCCTCACTTCCTCTCTCATACTATTTCGATAGTGTGAACAGACCCGGCAACAAGGAAAAACCCTTCCAATTGTAATACAAATCTATTTCCCAAATTTGCCTAATTAAATTTAAGTCAACTGTGGCGACACGCCCAGCGACACCTAATCCAATCGGCCAAGCCGAAAAAGTAGAGCCAAAATTAAGAGCGCAACGTCTCGGAACAGGTGTTAAAAATAGCATACAAGGAATTCACCATGTATGTTTGTAAACATAGTTCTAGCGAAATCTACCAGGAATTTGCCTTGTACATGTACGTCAATGAACCTTTGAGGAAAACGTAAACACGAGAATATCCATATCATTACAGTAATGACAGAGGTGATCAATACGTTTGTGATTGATCCAATCGGTACTCTGGGCATTACAGATAAAATGAATAGTAATATTTATTGGCATTTATTGTGTTTAATGATGTTTAAATCTTGACATCTGAAATGATTACTAATTGCAATATTTCCTGAATTCCTTTGAGACCGATATACATTGCATCATGCTACAGTAGCCTTCTTCATTCATTTAAACAAGCTCTACGTTATTTTGACATTTGATTTAAATAGAACTTTGAAAAATGATTACAGAAATAATACAAACGGGAACGAAGAGATTCGATTTTTCATTTTGTAGGTTTTTAAATTAAACTATTTAGTCTCATCAGTATTCACAATTGAAATAGCTGTCTTTCCATCAGTAATTCCGTAGCACTTCGAATCGTCATATGAAATGAAAAAATTGGTAAATATTATTCACTATCAATCATATAATCTTCACTCTGTTTTTGTATTATGACAAAAAGTTCACTTTTAACACCCACTTACTGAAGCGATCGACTTTTCCTACCTGCTTCTTCTTAACAGTGTTCCAATAGGGAGAGTAAAATTGTACACTTTCGATTGACAATATAGGAAAGAGTGCACCAACAGTATAAGAAAAACATGTACTGATTTGCTAAGAGTCCAACAAAATATGATCAAATCAGTACCTTTGCGCATAATGCCATCGATGACGATGTTGAGTAGAAGTCATCGTGATACTGACCGGCGAGTGTCAGGTCCTTCAGATGAGTCATCTTACAGATGAACTGAGCCAGATCACGTGATGTAGAGGGACGTTTATTGAGATATTTAGAGTAGATCCCAAGAGTCTCAATCTGTTATGATAGCAACATTATGTTGAATGAATACTAATAACAACCAAATAAAACTATATTCGAGAATCAACAATTCATTACAAATTATATTAATATCGTTGCCGTATAGTAACATTGTGTTAGATAAACTCCTAACACAATATCATTTATTTTGTGTATTATATACAAATCTTGACACCTGAAATTAGTACCACTTTCATTAGTTCTTGGTTTCTTTTGAGACCGATTCAATGGTGTTTATTCATACATGTAACTGATAGATAATGACAGAGATGATTAGTTTGTTTTTGATTGATCCCATCGAGACTGTAGGCATTGCGGATAAAGTAAATTATAATATTTTCTAGATCATGTTGACCTGTTGACTGAGGGAGTAGTGGGTAAATATGAATGAAGGACTTGGCTCCTGATCTAAATTCTAACGGAACAAAAGAGAAGAAGTCAACGCAAAGCGTAGCATCCCCTCGCCGGGTACAATTTCCTTAATTGAGCAATTTTTGCATATTCAATGGGATGTGACCTTTGAGCTTTGACGTGTGTACTTAACAACATTACTTACGTTATTGGATTAAAAAAAACATTTTCGCGTATATCTAAGTAGGGATTTTCGCATACACCTGTATGTAATGAGCTATGACCTTTGTCCTTTGACCTACATACTCCGAAATTAAACATAGGCTGTATTTTAATACCATGTGCCTTCATATTAAATTTCATTAAAATCCGTTAAACATTAAAGGTTATCAAATGGAAACCAGATTACCTACGGAAGAACAGAAGGAAGGACGTGCGGCAGCTTTACTACATGTATATCGCCTCCGACTTCGTCGACGAGGGGTTTAATAAAACAAGAAGGTATAACGGTCACAAATCAGTCCTCAACCACACTACTCTACATGAAAAACGTGTGCCTTCAATAGGGGGGGGGGGGGGGGATCAGAACACCCTGATTATGTTATCGACTACATTATATTGATGGATCCATGATTGTCAGAGAAGAGGGCATTTTATCCTGCGGTCATATGATCCGGTAATTTTACTGACCCTACCACATTTAAACGTCGGAATGATGAGGGGTGGTCGAGGAGGAGGGGGAACGATCCACATATTCGATGTCAAGTCTTAATCTGTTATAATAGTTACATTGTATTGGATAAACAATTTCTGGCATTACATTACTAAAAAATAATTTTAAACATTACATCATGCTTCAGTTGCCATCCTTATTATTTTACTTAAGCTATACGTTTTTCTGAAATTTGATTTAGTAAAAAATATTGAACAAAATAATTGTACAAAACCGAAAAAGGTGAAATAAAATGTACATGGAATACTTCGCAGTTTCCAAAGGGTTTCAGATATAATACAAACAGGGACAAAGAGATTTGACTTTTCATTTGTGTAGGTTTTTAAATTTAAATATTTAGTCTCATCAGCATTCGCAGTTGAAATAGTTGTCTCTCTACAGCAATTCCATAGCACCCCGAATAGGCATATAACATTTAAAATATGGTTTATATTATTCACTATTGATCTTAAAATCTTCCCTCTGATTTTGTATTACGACAGAAATTCACTTTTCGCATCCACTTCCTGAAACGATCAACTTTTCGTACCTGCTTACTATAAACGCTGTACCAATAGGGAGAGTAAACTTGTACACTTGCGTTTGACTATAAAGGAAAGAGTACACCTCTAGTATATCCAAAACATGTAGTGATTTATTGAGAGCCCTGAAATATACGATGAAATCAATACCTTTGCAGATGATGCCATCGATGACGCTGTTGAGTAGAAGTCATCGTGATACTGTCCGTCGAGTGTCAGGTCCTTCAGATGAGACATCTTACAGATGAACTGAGCGAGATCACGTGATGCTGAGGGACGTTCTCCGAAATCTTTAGAGTCGATGTAAAGAGTCTCAATCTGTTATGATTGCAACATTATTTTGAATGAATACTCATAACAACCAAATAAAACTATATTCAAGAATCAACAATTTGCTTTAAATTGTAATAATATCGCTGCCACAATAAAAAAAAACTCTTAACACAATAACATTTATTTTGTTTATGATATACAATTCTTAACACCTGAAATTAGTACTAATTTCAGTAGTTTCTCGATCCTTCTGAGACCGAGGTAATGGCGTTTATTCATAACTGATATATAATGACAGAGGTGATCAATAGGTTTGTGATTGATCCAATCGGTACTCTGGGCATTACAGATAAAATGATAATATTTTCTAGATCATATTGACCTGTTGATTGAGGGATCAGTGGGTTAATATGAATGAAGGACTTGGCTCATGATCTAAAGTCGTACAGAACTAAAGAGAATAAAACAAGTAGGCAGAACGGTCACAAACCAGTCCTCGACCACACTACTCTTCAAGGAAAACGTGTGCTTTTAATCGGGGAAATCAGAACACCCTGATTATGTTATTGACAACAGTATAATGGCGGATCCATGATTGTAAGAGAACAGGTGATTTCATCCCTCGGTCATATAATCCGGTAATTTCACTGATCCTACTACATTCAAACGTCGGAATGAGTTAGGGCTGGTGGATGGGAAAGGGGGTGATCCATATACTGGATGCCAAGTATTAATCTATTATAGTAGTAACTTTGTATCAAATAAACAATTGCTGACATTACACTACTTTAAAATAATTTTAAACATTACAGCATGATACAGTTGCCATCCTTATTCATTTATAAAAGCGATACGTTATTCTGAAATTGATTTAGTAAAAAATATTGAAAAAAATAATTGTACATAACAGAAAAGTGTGAAACAATATGTACATTGAACACTTTGCAGATTTCAAAGGGTTTCAGATATAATACAAACTGGTACAAAGAGATTCGATTTTTCATTTTTGTAGGTTTTTAAATTTAAATATTTAGTATCATCAGCATTCGCAGTTAAAATAGTTGTCTCTCCATCAGCAATTCCATAGCACCCCGAATAGTCATATGAAATTTAAAATATGGTTTATATTATTCACTGTTGATCATAAAATATTCCCTCTGATTTTGTATTATGACAGAAATAACTCTTAACGGTGTACCAATAGGGAGAGTAAAATTGTACTCTTGCGTATGACGATATAGGAAAGAGTACACCTCCAGTATAACAAAAGCATGTAGTGATTTGCTGAGAGTCCAACAAAATATGAGCTAATCAATACCTTTGCAGATGATGCCATCGATGACGATGTTGAGTAGAAGTCATCGTGAAACTGACCGTTGTGTGTCAGCTTCTTCAGATGAGTCATCTTACAGATGAACTGAGCGAAATCACGTGATGCAGAGGGACGTTCTTTGATATCATCAGAGTAGATGTGAAGAGTCTCAATCTGTTATGATAGCAACATTATGTTGAATGAATACTAATAACAACCAAATAAAACCATATTCAAGAATCAACAATTCGTTTTAAATTTGCCACAATGATAGACTCTCATTACAATCACATTTATGGCCCGAATTCACAAAGCAAGGTTTGAGCTCAGACCAAGGTTTACGTACGTCATATGACGCGTTTTAGACCTTGGTTCAGACCTTGGTCTGAAATGCATTTCACAAAGCCGGTTTGTCCTCAGACCAAGGTTTATGTACGTCATATGACGCGTTTCAGGTTTGAGTTCAGACCTTGGTCTGAAATTACATTTCACAAAGCAAGGTTTGTCCTCAGACCAGGTTTATGTACGTCATCAGACCCGAAATTTACAGACTGCTCAGATAGGAGGTTTGTAATTTCTCAAACCTGGTTTGAGAGCTATCAACCAATCAGGATGCAGCACTGGGTGGAGATAATTTATGCTCGATTGATTTTATCCAAATAATTCACCGCCAAAACAATCTGCGATAGTATCTGGTCAGCCCGATTTTAGTGCAATTGAAATCTCTCAATCTCTCGATCCTTTCCTTAAAATCGTAAGTATAAAACCTGTACATGTAGTCGAATCCATACTCTTCACGTTACTGACATTTCAATATGTGATATGTTTTATAACTTTCCATTTTCCATGAAATGTTCGGTGTTTACATATCCGACGGCCTCTCAATTCCAGAGTTCAGGGACTGAGTCCGAGGGAGCTCGAGTCCAACGCCCAAGGCGGCGGCGGAGCTCGCACCCTCTGACCCTGGGCTGGAGTTGGGCCTAGCCGGGCCTACAGTACATATGACTGTCATGTTTAATTTCGTCTTGTTGTCAGCAATGCCATGACACATGCCAATTAGAATAGGCCTAGACCTACACTAGTTATTACAAATTCATGATAATGATAATAATACCAGGCTCTAGCCTAGTATAGGCCTGGCAATGATGTCCATCACTTGACTTGTTTCACTGACACTGGTACCTAAATAAATAGAAATTGAAATGGCATCAGCAATGCCAATGTTCCCCAAAATGAATCACACTGACACTCAGGCATAGACCAAAAGCTTCAGTCTCTCTATATCGCCGGTTGTTCACTGAGACTACGCCTGGCTCCATAGGCACTAGACCTAACTTAGACCTCCGATTATAGAATGTCAACAAATGTCAGTTTTAATATTATTTTTATTAAAGAAATGACCCATATCACTCAGACAGTTATTTCTGTCTATGACTACTAGATCTAGATCTAGTCTAGTATGAGTCATGACAAGCAAAGCTTAGTTTTATTAAATTTAGATCTGGTTCTGATTGTCTTAATTAACTGGCTTAGTCTCCGGAGAAAGGATCACCCACAAAGTCACAAGCACAAGTAGTCTAATAACATTTCTTTAATTTAAAAACATTGTTTAAACATTTGTTTAATTTTATCTTCACTCTAGTAAAGATGGTAGAAATGCAGCTGATTCAGCATAATGAGCTGGTGTACCTGGAGGAGGAGCTGGAGCAATATATAGCAGCACAACCGGGCAGAGGCCTCTGAGTCTGAGATTGGGAAAACCCGCTTGATGATGAGCCTTTTGTTTTAGATTGAGGTAGGCTACTTTGAAGTTGAACTCAAATTCGAATTCTGTATTGGGAAAGTTGCTGAAAACATGGCCAAACTACTTGATGAATATTGTTAACATAGCTATACAAAAAAAGGGCTTCTGTTGTAAAATCCAACCCTAGTGTCGTTATTAAAATGCAGAAATATTTCAATTCATGTTGACCGCCTAAATTCACTGTTCGTTTGCCCCGCTTCGCTGGTCTGCCTACGACCGTGCAAGCCCCCAATGCAATACACATGTGCATTTACATAAATTTATTCAATTTCTAAGCATTTTCTGTCATATTCGATACATTGATAGATTAGTTATGATATTTATTCTTTTACAGTATGGTACTGTAGGTGATGGAAGCATTAATGTTCATAATTTGTGTGTGGGGCATTTCCCAATACTGTTATTTGGCTTTAATACATGAGGAAATTATTCAGATTATGTGTTGGAAACAGGTTTGTGATTTCTTGTTTTGTGTAAAACTACTTAACTACTTAAACTTATTCTTCAAAAGGTGAAGCCGTGAAGGAGATTAGAAAAGGCATAGACAATTTGTCTTTTACGTTAAATTGATTCACACCACATCTAGAAATCAGGATTTTTTTTTTTTTTAAGTGACAGTGACAGTTGGGGATGTAAAAATATAATAGCATAAACCAGCAAAAAAATGATTTATTTGAATGCTTGTTTTTTTAATTTTTTTAAAAAGGTAATTCGATCTAAAGGATGCACCGTGAGGAGGCGGCATGCCGTGTCATATTCATCTGTTTGCCAAATGGAGAGTAGTGAGGGATGTTTCCGAAGCTGTTGTCAGAAGAAAGGGACAAGTCATGAAGTTTCCTACAAGTTACAACAAGGCAAATAGTGACTACTATTCAGAAGCAGTTTTTCCAGTACTGCAGATTTCCAGGAGTTGCTGTTGATGGGACACATGTTTACATCAGGAGCCCTGGTGGGGCAAGAGCCAGGTACTACTTCAATAGGAAGAACAGGTACTCCATCGATGTTCAGGTGAGAATAAATGAATACATCATGACTGGATCCAGCACGGCTTTCCCTTTAGACCTTTTTTTGTACCTTGCAAAATTTTCACATTAGATATATACACTCTCCAGTCTTGTGTGTTGTACATCCATGCTAATTCATTGGTGACCAATGCAAGATTTCTAGTGGCCAAATGGATATTAAAGTAATATTCGCGTACAGGTACTCATTTCACTGCCTTTGTACACAGTTAAGAATATCCAATGGATAGTTAAACTTAAAAATCCTAACACTCGTTAATATCTTTTTAACTAAAGGGAAATTTGAAAAATCAAAACTTGTTCCATCCTTCTATTGGCAATACGGATATGACCTCTAGATTTCTGATATTTTGTTGATGGCCATGGCAATTGGGCCACTGTTTTTGCCATTGATCAATGAAAGAAAAAACAACAAAGAGAAACATGTAAATTGATCAATGGCAATTACCACTATATATTTTAAACTATAGAAAAACAAACAGGTTCATTTCCAATAAAAAGATGCGAGAGTGGGTACCCCCCCTCCCCCCCCCCCCCCCACACACACACAAAGCATTTGTTGTTTTAGGCTCGAAATGTTTTGTTAAAAGTGAGATTATTTTTGTTTACATTGTTACAAGATAAACAATGAAAACATGAGTTAAAAATGAAGAAATACTTCATCAGTCAATAAATATAGGGTAATTAGAATTTTCTTCCAATTTTTGTTGTATGAATAGATATTGAAAAGCAATTATCACATATTCAACTGCATTTGCATTAATTACCATAAATAACAAGTGAAATTTATACATTTCACGGCCTATCTGAAGTGTGAAATGAGTGAGTTTTCATAACTAATGAATGCCAACATGTTATTTCATATTGACAGGTTGTCTGTGATTATGCTGGGAAAATAACTAGTATCGTTGCAAGGTGGCCTGGACTGGTAGCAGCCACGATGCCAGGATCTTTTCTGAGTGTGCACTGAATTGGCAGCTTGATGCTAGGGCATATGAATAACAGTTGATTCTTGGAGATAGACTATAGGGTAGGTACTGTAGATTATTTCTTTATATGAAAACATTTGTTTATTCTTTTTCTTAATCAATCTTGTTTCCTTTTTTGTATTTGGCCAACATGTGACATGTTAGGAATATTCATTTGGTAATATAGTAACAACTCGCATTAAGTAATTAATTCAAACGAGCTCATGTGCTTTTAAATTTCAGTTCACAAATCACAATTAATGTTTTTGATATCTGGATGCAACTTGATTAGTTTGTTGTCAAGTGGAACCTCATAGTTTTTGTATTAGTGACACAGGATTGAATAATTCCTGATTATGTGTATAATACATTGTATCCTTTCTATAGTATTACCCCCCCCCCCCTACCCCCCTCCAAGAAAAAAAATGAACAAGTCGAAATTAAGAATATTGTTTATGATTTTGTTTATTTTGTCCATTCAATTTTGCAGGTATCCATGCCTTCTCTGCCTCATCAGAAGCCATTTCTTCATTCAGAGGGTCGACCACAGATGTGCTTTAAAGGCCATCTGTACTGGTTCAGCCAAAGAGGATTAGACAACCCAGCAAGGTCACTGACGGGAGGCTATCTCATCAATTCAGTTCTCAATTAAAATAAGAAAAAGAGGATCATGGGGGATTAACAGGCACAGATTGGGGAAGTTTTCTATAAAGAGGGAGCAAGTAGCTAGAAGTAGTACAGTGGGGCTTTAACACTTCACACACAAAAAAGGGAGATGTGTGATTGAGCGCATATTTATTAAATGCAAGGATGAGGACGTTCCATGCCTCATCAATACTAAGAGTATTTCAAAATACGGCCCCTCCCTGGTGTTCCCACAATACTTCGTAGTTATGCAGCATTACATCAAGAACCTGTGTGTTGAACCGTTGATTATTTATGAATATTTTTGAAGTTATGTTTAGTTGATAAGTATTTGTTGTCACTCTGACGGTATTTGTAATTAAGTGTTCTCTGTAGATTAAATGCACCCGATTTAACTATAATTAGCATTGTACTGCTGAGTTGAGGGGTGGGTCAATATAAATTATTTGGTTGGCAGCTAGGGGAGAGTATTCGAACAAATATTATTTACTGTACTAAGCGAAGTCAGAATTAAAGAACTTTTATGTGCAAATTTGAATTTTCGTCACCCATTTTGTTGTATTTCTGATTTTCTTTCTGCTAACAGCGCTACAGTGAGACTTTTAATTGGCCTTCCAGAGCCTCTCTTAACCTCTAGTGGGCTATATTTCATATAAGCATGCTACAAAATTTACAAATGTGAACTGCATTGTTTGAACAAACGGTAGATTACTATTGTGTTGTATGCTCAATTATTTATGTAAAACATAAAAATACGAATACCATATTCTTGCTTTCATATATTTACAAAGATAACTGAAATAGATATGTGTCAGATTATCTCTCTCTCTCTCTTTCTCCCTTTTTTTTTGGGGGGGGGGGGGTGCAGATGTGTGTGTTTGCAGTTTGCATGGTTTTGCATTATGTGTTTCATTGCAAAAAAGTAGAAGAAGAGAGAGAGAGAGAGAGAGGGGACAAAGAAAAAAATTAATAGAGAGAGAAAGGGAGGGAGAGAGAGAGAGAGGGGGGGGGGGAAGAAAAAGAATTAATAGAGAGAGAAAAGGAGAGAGAGAGAGAACAAAAATGGGTATAGAAAGAGAGAGGAGGGACGGGGACAGAGAAAGAGACAGGGAGGGAGAGAGAGAAAGATGAATAGAGAGAGAGAGGGGAGAAAGAAAAAGAATTAATAGAGAAAGATAGGGAGAGAGAACAAAAATGGGTAGAAAGAGAGAGGGACGGGGACAGAGAAAGAGACAGGGAGAGAGAAAGAAAAGATGGCCATAGAGGAATTTTTTTTAAATTAATATTATATGGAAACAAATCATTTACCAGTTACAATTTTGATGTGAAAAAATAGCCAGTTGGGGAAACAAACGGGGAACTAGTTAAAATAATAATTGATTGACCATTCTAACAAAAGAACTATATAGATCTATGAAGTAATATATTAATCACAATAAAAACTTAAGTCATATTAAATCATTATTATTATTATTATTAGGTGATTTTATTGATAAGAATTTGTAACCCCCAAAACAATAATACTCTTACAGTTAATTTAAAAGAGCCCTTGACAACCTTAGATGTATTTATCTAACGAAGGTTTTCAGGTGTCGATGTCAATTTGTTCTGGGTCAGATTGAGTGCTTCACCAGCACCACACAAATGTGAGTACGTGGGGCACTTTCTGCATCGGCGCGCCAGTTTGGTTCGATTAATTCATGAAAATGCGATTCAAAAGTTAATTTCAGAGATGTTCTAACCATCATCTTTTCAAGATTGCTCATTAAGATGTCCGGATCGTACTAAGAATGCTTAGTTTAACAGTTTTTTCAATTCTTAACATTTAAACCCTAGCCCATAAAAATTATGTTAGAAACCCTATGGCTGAGACTAGTTTTACAAACCTTGGTCCGAGGTTTGGGAATTACAGACCAAGGTTTATACAAACCTTCCTTTGTGGAATGGGTTTGAAAATAAACCAGGTTTGAGCTCAGACCGAGGTTTGTACAAACCTTGGTCTGATCAAACCGGCTTTGTCCTCAGACCTCCGTTGTGAATTCGGGCCATGTTTATGACGTACAAACCTTGACACCTGAAGTTAGTACTAATGTCGGTAGTTCCTGGATTCTTTTGAGACCGATTCAATGGTGTTTATTCATAAATGATCGGTAACAAAAGAGGTGATGAATATGTTTTTGATTGATCCAATCGGGACTCTGGGAATTACGGATAAAGAAAATTATAATATTTTCTAGATCACATTGATCTGTCGACTGAAGGAGTAGAAGGGAAATATAAATGAAGGACTTGGCTCATGATCTGAAGTCTTACAGAACAAAAGATAATTACAGAAGAAGGCAAAACCGGGCGGTGGTCGCAAAGCAGTCACCAAACAGACTACTCTTGAAGAAAAACGTGTGCTTTCAATCGGGGGATAGTCTGAACTACCTGATTATGTTATTGACGACAGTATAATGGCGGATCCATGGTTGTCAGAGAGGAGGGCATTTCCCCCCGGTCATATGATCGGGTAATTTTACTGACCCTACTACATTTTCACGTCGGAATGAGTGAGGGGTGGTGGTGACTGGTCTGGGAGGGGGAGGGGAGTGATCCACATACTGGATGGCAAGTCTCAATCTGCTATAATAGTAACATTGTATTCGATAAACAATTGCTGACATTAAAATACATACAAATATTGTTATACTTGTCATCCTCATTCATGTACAAAAGCAAAACGTTATTCTGACATTTGATTCAAGAAAAGTGTAAAAACAAATATATGACCTTTGGCATAACCTGCACTTGCTACTCTCCGGGTTACGCCTGGCTGGAATGCTCCCCAGGGAGTGGAGATTGTGCACACAGTGTATGCGGGCAAGTATTGAATCATTACAAAATGGTCAGACTAAACCTTGTTTAATGTAGAAACCTTTTATAATTGTTTAATATTATTGTTGATTTTGAATTATGATAATTGTATGCCTTAAACAAATATTTTCCCTTATTTGAACTTTATCAGAGTATTTAGAACTGTTATCATGATTTCTACAACCAAACACAACCATTATTTCCCAGGGAAGAATTATCTGTCTCCACTACTCATCAACTGCTGATATATAGTGGGAAAATTTAATTTTAATTTTTGCGTCTTTAAAAAAAAAATTAATATGCATTCTCAAGTATTTTTTTTAAAATGAATTCCTAACATTGATTTAAAAATGATTAATAACAATTTGATATCAATTCACTCATCCCTGTTATGAAGAGATAAATGCTAATCTCTACTCGCAATTCCGCCTGTTCGTGAATATATGCAATCATAACACAATGTTAGTGACATGGGCATTCTAATTGTTATGTCACATCTGACAGGTATATATATCCGAGTTTGACGGACCAACATGGTATCATAATGTGCGTAAGACCTGAAGAAAGAGACATGAAAGGACAATGCGAAATGCAAAACGGTTTACGACGTAACGGAAATGACGATAGGAGGGCGTCCCAGCCCCCTTATACATTAAGTGTTAATTTGATATGATTCACATGTTATGACCTCTGTGGTAATTTATTTGTTATAGCAGAGCATGTGGAAAGATATGCTTCTGTATTACATGCCTCAAAACCTAGTTAAAATAATTTGAGATTGGGTCATTGAAATAATTAGAAACACCCTAAACAGACATTTTGACAACATAAACAAAAAAGTGTGATGGGATAGGTGAAGAAATGTCTCCACCCCATCGAAAAAGTAATTGAAAACTTCAAGGATGGTGCTAAATGGGGTTGAAATAGTGAGAGAGAGAGAGAGAGAGAGAGAGAGAGTTTATTTCAGAGAGAGAAAAATATTTGTTTTGTTTCGGGCAAATCAAAGCATTACATAAGGTCCAATGGTCATAAAACTCAAGGCTAACCCTGGTGATTGACAACACCTGTTATTGGTAAAACCCGAACGGTGTCGAATTCCCCATGAGAGCCGACTACTCAGTGACTTTAAGCACATTTCTGTTTCCCAGTATTTTCCTAAATTATTTCAATCCTGACTGAATTTGGCATCCTTTTTTTTAAAGAATGATGTACCAAATAAACGACAATGTGGATGATACAAAGATTTATACTGACCTTGGAATCGACTGCTTTATTCGCAAGCACCGAGTAGAAGACATCATGTATAGTATAATCGATCCTCACAGATCTCAGTGATCGTGATGAGCAGATGAATTCAGCCAGGTCCTCTGAAGCCGTGCGTCCACATGGCTTCTTAATTTCCAGGTCATCCTACAATGTACATGTACACAAATAATATTGTGAGGCTAGAAACATAAACTATCAAAATTATACTATATTATCCTGATTAATCACCTGCATTGATACTGATTTTTTAATAAGTTTGTTTTAATTTTCAATTTTCCGTTTGGTTCTTATTCTGTTTTCATAATCTATATGTATGAACATGAAATAATATCTTTAAAAATAAATAATAACATTATGCATTTTAAAGGAATTATTCTGATCCAATCAAATATACAATTTTCTGGGTTCAGTACGTGTCTCATAATAATTCAAGGTAGCGTTTTATCATATTGGTTTGAACAGTAAACACGTGAAAATCCTATTGGGATTCGTGATAATAAAAGCCTTATATTATTAAACAAGGTTTTATTGCATATACATTCAAGACAGGTTGTACTGCAATAACAATAAATCACAACTCCTATATAAAGAATAAAGTCCTAATGATAATTAATCCTTGTTAAAAGTAAATTTTAAATATGATGATCAGACTTGTATCCATGCCAGATCCATAGAAGTTGCTTTAATTTAAACATGCAACTGATTTCAATTTTAAAAAATGTATTCTATCAAGCTTTTGGGTGAATTTGGGTGACGAGAGTTTGTACAGAATGCATTGCCTTATTAGCGCATGTCGGGGTTCAAAGCATCGTTCGTATACACAGTATGTGTATACAGTCATGTGTTCAAACCAAACGAGGTCATTCTATTAAAGTCTGAGAGAATGAAATTTAAATCAATTCTTTCACTCAAAGAGATCAAACAAAGATAAAAATGTATACGTTGCTAGAATTCGATGTTACTTTCCTTACCACCTCACGATGGTTCATGATGAAAGTATGCCCTGATACTGTGTGTGCCTGCATCCTTGTGGTGATCTTCAGTGTCTTTCTGGACGTCGATAGATGATCCGCCACGGCTTTGGCCACTTCTTGGTATTGGCTCTCGTATGCTACATCTACGATGAAGTCATCAGCAATACGGCCCTGTGTGCGCTCTGTTTTTTGACTCTATGAGACGAGATACGATATCCAAGCCGACCTCATTCTGCTGAGCCGAAGTGAAGTACAGTAGGTACCGGTATTCCCCTGCTTTTGTTATGATATTCGCTATCAACCTGTCATACTCATTACGGTTTGACTTGTAAAGGGATGCAAGATACATTCCTGATAGATACTCCTGGAAGAGCTTATGGGGAAACTGCACCGATTGGACTACTGATTTCGGATTATTTCTTCTGGCTCGCCTCGGAAGAATTTTCTTCTCTCTGGTGAGTACACCAACTTTACAACCTACATCGATGGACTCTGGATAGCTCTGAAACTCTTCTTCTGTGAATACTAACCGTCTCTCGAGAAGTCCCTGGAAGGCAATGCGGCCAATGTGAATCATGTGTGGACGAATATCTAAACAATGTTCCCCTAATTTGCCTTCAACAATACCTGAAGATGGAATGTGCTTTGATAGGTGATGATCAACCAAAAATTCAATCATCTGATTGAAGAGCTGGGAAAATGTTTGCAGCTTGGACATTGCCTCTCGGCGCTCTCCATCAAACTCTTTCCACATGATACACAGCATGGCTGTGTATATGGGGTAGGGAGCCATGTTCTCTCTGATCACATCGTTGTTTGATATGAATCGGTTCAGATCTTCAGAGGAAGCTGTGTCTGGATGAAAGAACTTGGTGATGTAAGAAGAGAGGTTTTCAGCAGAATACCCTTCTACAGCAATGAAAGCAAACACCTTTCTGAGATCGGCATTCTTCCTAATCTCATCTGATCTCCATTGTCTCGATGTGATTAGTACTGTACCTGACTTGAACAGACGATTGAGAGTGATCAGGGCGATTTGCTGATTGCTGTCAAGATCGACAGCTAACTCATCTAGGCCGTCCAGGACAAGAAAGACGTCATCCGGATTTGAGAGGATGTGCTTGTCTAGCTGTTTGGCTGTGACGGGATTGTTGTCAGAAAGATACGACTTCACTATCTCTCCAACAGTCTTGCCCTCTGTCTTGCGAAGGAGGATGACAAGAACCAGTTTGAAATCTTGGTAGCCTTTTCCGTGGATCCAATCCCAAGCGATCTTGGCGCAAAAAGTGGTCTTTCCTACACCACCTTCACCTTCTACCAGCAAGCGTTTGGGAAAGCTTCCGTTGACTTTGGTCCTAAGGAGGTTGTCGTAGAGAAGCGGTGTTTTGCGTTTTGTACCTTTGTCTTCTTCCATCAACGTTAGATTGGTGAAGATACGTTTAAATTCAAGTACAAGTTCGCTGTTCAGTGGATCGGCTTGAATCTGACATAGATGAATTAACAAATAGTGTTTGACCTCTTCAGCAACCTGTTGGATTTCCTCCTCTGTCATGGACGGTATGTGATCACCAACCTGACCTGTGATGAGAATGGTGAAGAACGTTGTCTTTAGAATGACTAAACAAATATGACCAGTGGTTTAATATCACACAACAGCAGTACTAGCAGCAGCAGCAGCAGCAACGACAACAACTGGGGGAAATTATGTAGCCCAGTATCGTATCATCAGAATAAATAACTTCCTAAATATCTATTTATATTTTCGTGCGGATCAGGGGCAACCATTTTCTCCTAGGGGCTCTCACATTGTGTAATTTATTGACGTTGTACCTTGAAATCAGTCCTCCAGGAAAGGATTACTTAAGTCAATGGTAGAACTTTAATCCCTTTGGTCAAAAATGAGGTTTGGAGCAATCTTATCCAGCGCAAAGTGTCATAAAAATGTGCATGATCTTGTATGTTTAATTACTAAACAAGTTATAACGATTGTCTTCTTTAAAAGGTACGCTCCTGGTTTGTTAGGCATACCATTCATCACGTTGCCTGTGTACGCATGTATATTCCCCGTGTCCACACACACTCATTTCATCGTTAAGCTATCCCTAAACGGTATAGTTATCCCGTTTCGGGATAGCCATACGATGAAACTGTGTGTGTGTACGCTTACTAACGATACGTCGTATAAAGAAACGTCGTATAACTAAACGTCGTATTACGAAATGTGGGTCTGGGCATCGTTTAGAACTAGAACTCTATAAAGAATCACGGAATGTTTTGCGTGTGGACGTATGGTCGAACTAGAACGGTATAACTAGGCGGGGCTTAACGAGACCGCACTCGAAAGTAGACATGACCTCTCATTTCCGCTTCCGTTTCATGACCGCAGTACCAAACTAGAAGAATCATGGGCTGGGCTTAACGTGACCGCACTCAAAAGGAGACATGACCTCAAATTTCTGCTTCCGTTTCATGACTGCACATATACGACGTTTCGCTGTATAGAGTTTCGGACACTTGTTCTTGTATGTGTGGACGCCCGGTTCGCTATACGATGATTCTTTATACGACGTTTCTTTATTGAGTTTCGGGATAATTATGTTTGTGTGCGGACACACTGTATGTGTAATACTGTACCTTTCTGTACGCTATCAGCAAGCTGCACCAGCTTAATGCGTTGTAACGTGACCACCAACGTCTCCCTCGCCTCGCTTTCACGTACTCTCTTCCGCCATTCGTAAAGCATCTTATAGGTAGCATACAGAGTGTTGCCCATCTGATCTTTCTCAAACCGTCTTAGTTCAGCCTCAGTAAATCCCAAAGCTAGTCCGACCTTCCTGAAATCTAATGGATCCATACTGTCAGCAAGGAGATATAGTTCGAGGTCGGTCAGGTTCCCAGGTCTAAATCATTAGACAAAAGAAAGAAGAAAAATCATATACAGCTTACATATATTTGTGAGGTTTTATAATCAAAGGTCTTTCCTTTGATTATCATCTCGAGTGAATACCCTTGTTTGGATTGCAATAAAATATTACTATTTTCCAACATTTTGAATGCAAGCACTCCAAAAAAATTGCAAAATATGGACCTGTTAACATAATGGCAATACGCGAAACTTGGTTTATTCCAATCATTATTTTTTACCAACAAACTCTTTAGCCCGTATTCTGCCGAAATTCAGACCTCACGGTGGGTTAAAGCTTTAGTTTATAATCGGGTTTAGAATGGAAATTAGTCTGAAGTTTAATGAAGTTTATCTTTAAACGTGATCTCCTATCAAGGGTCGGGCCGATTAACAGAATAAGGACCAAAGTCGCTCTTTCATTGTGCTTACTTATCATTCGGGCCAGGGTTTTGTTCTACATCCCCGGATCTCATTAGAAGTATGTTGGTCATGTCTGGACAGTCATTCCCTTTAGTTTCATCTGCTTCACCGCTGCTTGTCCCTGATCCGAGGATCGGATAGATCGGGGATCCATGATACTCCGTTACTATCTAAGAATGAAGAGAAAATAACGAATAGATGACACAATTTTAACTCTGAAAACTATCTACATGTCATACTGAGATAACATTATTGTGCCACAATGTATTTCTGGCGGGAATGCTTTATCAATGGTTTCTAGTTTATTCTTAAATCCATAATAGGACAATGATTAGCGCAGGCAGATGATAGAAGGGTGTTCATGTAGCCATTGGACAAGGTGGGCGGACAATTCATGATATTCCGTTACTTATGGACAAAAGACATTATTTGAAGGAAAAAAGGAGAATCACGGGATTATAAGAATTCTGTGAAAGGGTTAAGGGAAATTTAACCACTATTTACGGTTGCCACAAACTTCAAAATTACACTTTTCACAGCAAAATCAAATAAGCTGTCCTTTATAATACATCTTTTTTAGCTCCAATTTTCCTAGTTACATGTTCTGGTTAAAACCCCGTTTACAAAAAGAATTGTTTTATACAGTTTTTATTTCGATTAAAGTTCGCATGTTTTTCTCACTGTTTTTGTTTTCTTTCTTTGTTTTTATGTGAGTAGTGAGGTTCTAGGAAATGCATATCAATCATACCCTGATAGATGATGTTTTTTGGTCGGTATTTCTCGTTGTATTTAGCCTGTGTTTAGGTGATAGGTCCGATGATTGGTCCTCTATCCCAGACGGCGCAGAGTCAGTTTCCTCCTTGTCTCGATTGATACGATCTGTCTCACCATGAACGCATGCAGGTACATGTGAGTGCGACTCTGATGTGCCAACTTCAGGTTTTGTCAGTTTTTCCTATTTGGGCGGATTTCGGGGTGTATTCATGTGACATGAGATTAATGGCTATGTCATTATTGTCCGATTCGTCTTCTCCACAGGGTTTGGGAACTAGAATTGTCACGTCAGTGGAATCAGGGACAGGGTTGGTCTCTTTTTCAATTGAAGAACCACTGTTTTGAGCACATGAAGACTCAGAGTGAGAGACATCGTTATGACCGGGATTATTTACATCGCATGTGGATCCACTCTCCTTGACAGTATCACACTCTGGAACGTCAGAATGTGAGAGAGTCGGTGAGCTTGCGTTACCTTTGCCATTGTTGACGTCACGTGAATGCCCTGTTTGAGCAGAAAATGCAGACTGACGGGCGGTGTTGCTTGGAGATCTATTCGCACCGGGAGAAGAGCCAGTGCGAGATGAGATGTTACACTCAGGATTGTTGTTTTCTTTAGGTGGCTCAGCATTCTTGTGTTTTTTAATTAAGTTGTGGAGTTTCCTCCAAAAGTAGTGGTAGTCATATTCTTTCCTCCGACGGTGCATGAACGTGCCAATCCTGACACGCCATTCACCAAGAGACACAGGCATGGTGACATCAGGGTACTGTGTTATTCAAGAGGGAAAAAAAATTAATGCAGAGTTAGTTCATGAGACGGGCAACATGACTTTGTAGAAGAAAATAGTGCCAAATCTTTGTACGGATTTATCTTAACATGCCATGTATGGAATATGTATTCATTTTAAATTACATAATATCTCATCTTTTGAAGTCAATTTAATGATGGTGCTTTATAATGCAAATTTGCACAGCTCTAAATTATGTAATCGCCTCCAGACAAATATACCACCGGTTATGGTTGTTTTAGATGTTTCTGGGGCCGGATGTAAGTCCGGGGTAGCCATCCAAAAACTATATGGCAGACGCTGAATATTTTCAAATGCATTATTTCAGACAAAGACAGAGTAAGACCGAGTTACAAAGGAAGATATTGTATACTGGAGAGTGGTATGTATTATGTGCCCGCGTTGTGCGCGTGTTGTGGTTGTGCGTGCAGTGGCGGATCCAGCCCCCCCCCCCCCCCCCCCCCGCCTGGGGGAAAAAAGGGGGAGGAAGGTGGGGAAAAAGAGAACAAAAAAAAAAGGGGAAAAAGAAAGAAAAAAAAAAGGGGAAAGATTTTTTTTTTTTGGAAAAAAAGTGTTCCTTCCCCCCCCCCCCCCC